TACAAATGAACTTTGTGTTTGAATGGCTGAAAAGGTAAGTAAATTTTTTTTTTTTTTTTTTGCATTTATTTTTTTCTGTTAGGGTTAAGCGAAAAAATAATTCACAAAAAAAAATCCCAGGTAGTTGGGCTGGCCAGAGTGTAGTCGAGGTTGAGGTTTCCACGACATCAGGTGGAGTCTACATGAGGTCAACAATTGCTAGGAGAGAACAGAGACCACTTCAATACGCACCTCATTCAAGCAGCATGTGAAGAGGTTGTTGTGGCTTCGTGAAATGCAGTGTATTTCAAATTCACCCAATTCTAGTGAATTCAAAATACATAAAACATGACATGTTAGGGTTGTTTCAGAATCTAAACAAAGAGCTATGAATTTACTTTACTACCAATCAAACACTTGAAAATTTAGAATCAATCCATTTCAGATGAAGTAAACTCAAAATTCTCTCAACAAAACAACCCCGTAATAGAACTAAGGCACAAAAAACAGGGAAAAATCTTAGATATCATGAAAATCAGGGCCATTTGGTTTAAAAATAGATTACTTCAATATGGGCATCTAATTCTGGCACAAGAGTGCATGGTAGAACTTAATACTCTTGACCATCATCAAATTTAATCAAAATCTTCGAGGTTTTCTAGATAGAGATAATGTAGAAATGGCTAAATTAAATGCTGAAACCTGGATAAGCTCATAAGGCAAACCAAAAAGCTTAAAGAGACACATTAGCAGAATCTAACCACACTGCAATAAATAACTGGAGCTTTTCATTCATATTAAGTCCTCACATGTGACAAACATTAGCAAAACGTAACCAAAGATTCTAAATGAACATAAATCCAGAAAATTTTTTTAAGAAAATCAACACAATTTCAGAAGCACCACATTAGCTAAACCGTAAAGACGAAAATATCAACACGCACCAACACCTAGCGAGCAACGGGGAAATCTTACACAAAAGCTAAGATGGGCACGACGAGCTAACACGGCTGCGAGATAAGAAATATCATATCACACTTTTAAGTGCCTTGAGAAACCCAGACGGCAAAAAAATAATGAGACAAACACAACAAATATCAGCATGAAAAAATTTCGGGTCAAAAAAAGGCGAGACCAGAAAGAAAATCAAATCTCTAACCAACAAATTAGGGCAAGACAGCAACAAATGCCAAACAAATTATACCCCAGTGCGGATAGAAGGGGCCCCATGTTGCATCGTCATAGGATGAGAGTATTGCTGGTAGTGTGATGATTGCGGCGCATTGTGCATCCCCGCCGCCATCATCCTCTCGGCCGCGTCGATGGACCCGGTGAGCTGCGATATCTGCGAGAGCGCAGCTGCTGCAGCAGTATTCAACCCCGCAGCAGCTTGGTACGGGTACCCACCTTGCTCCGCAGCTGGCGCGTACGCCATCCCATGCGAGGCGGAATTGTGGATCTGAGCCGCATCGGCCTGCGGAACAGCGGAATCCGGCTGTGCCTCCGCATAGTAAACGCCGGCAGTGGCCGCGGTGGAGGTGGATGAGTAGTCGTGAGGGTAATAGGGCTGGTGGTAGTAGGCTGATGCAGCGTAGTATTGATCGCAGGCGGCATAGTACGCCGCATAGGCTTGAGCCTGAGCGGGATCGTAAGCTTGTTGCTGATCTGATTGCTGTGCTTCAGCTAGCGAGGAATTGTCCATCGCCTTCCGTCGGCGCACTCAAAGGATAGAAGGGAAGAGAGGGATTGGAAAAACAAGAAGAACCACTCGTTAGGTTGGAGTGCTATTACTACCGACTCGCATTTTAACCTAATGGCCTCGCATTCTTCTTCTCATTTCTTTTCTCCTTTTATTAATTTATTTATGATAAAACTTTGGATCATGTGCATTCGCATATCTAACATCTACACTTCAATATATATATCTATACAATGCACCGAAGTTGTCAGCATAAATTTCAAAATAATAGAATGGTCATGATGACAACCAAACAACAGTGGCGTCTTATCTCCTTACAAATAAACGTGTGATCAAGAATTGACTCACACAACTACGGTAAAAGATTCAAACGAGGTACCATGTCTGCAATCCCAATCGACCAGAGCATCGGTGGAAACATTTGATCATGGTCAATCGGTCGACCCAATTTTACCTTGGCGAATGAAATCACTACTCAACCAGATGCCTCAGCCGACCGACAAAATCATGATCGCCACTCAACGGTCATCAAAGTCGGTCGAGTTTAGGCAAATCGACCAAAAAATTACCATCATATTAGAATTCAAATTGTAATATAGATATAGTAAAATCTATATAATTGATTCGAACATCAAATGAATTAATAGCAGTTTTCATAATAGTTCCCTCCTTTTTGTAGTTATATAAAACACGTCACTATAAAGATGAGGCAAAAATATGAATAAAGGGATCTCTCACAGTTTTCTCTCGATAGTGATTTTTGGGTTTATCCTACTCTCCCTTCCTCCACCCTTTGTTTCTAACTCTTGGGGCATGTTTGCAAAAAAACTGTTCAGGATTCAAGTTCCTAAAAAATGATGCGGTGAGCATAGACATGCCACAGATAAGATGTGAAAAAGATTATGGAGGAGAAACTTTCAAAAGAGAGCACATATGGAGCTCAATAGAGATGTCCGACAATAAGAAGTCCATGCACATAACCAATGCCTACATGCCCAAATGACCCTCATGATGGACCAATTTGAAGTCCGTCGGGCAGTGATCGCCCCAAGAAACGATTAGGTGCCTTGTCTGGAAGCGAAACCTCATGGTGCTTGCCCCCAAGTCTCCCACTAGAGAATTTGCCTACACTAGAGGACAAGGTTCGCAACCCGTGGACGGAGGGACAGAATGAGCCCCAACACAATGACACTATCACGTTCGCACAATTTAACAAATTACGAGAAAAATGGATGTTAGTACCTGTCCCACCGCTTGCAGGAGGGGCTTTTACTTGTCAAATCAAATATGTGGTACGCCACTCAAGCTGAGGATATCTCTTATGGATTCTTACAAATGGATGACCTACCCGATCGACCATGTAGTGTCATTCGAGTCATTGATTGATCTGCTCTAGATTGACGACCCCATAATGTGTTCTCTTCTTAATCACCCTTAAGGAGTCGGTCCTTCGGTGGTTCGGTTGTCTGTCACTGAAACCATCTCAAATTACTACCAGTTTAAAAGATTTTTCATTTCGCACTTCTCAAACATACAAAAGCTAAGAAAAGGTCAGGACACCCTGCTTGACCTCAAACTGAGAGAAAACGAGAACTTGTTGGTCTACATCACCCGCTTCTAGAATGAGATGCTGAAAGTTAAAGATATGAAACATGATATAGTCGGAGCAACTCTGAAAGAGGAGTTCAAAACAATCTATTCAGATACGACCTAAACTTATTTAATCCTACTACATTTGTAGAGGTATTGAAGAAAATAAACGGGCAAATACTCGCCAAGGAAGTCCTTTGGGGCTCCACAAGAGGTAAGTTAAACCCATCTGACCATCCCTCAAAGAAATTAAAAGAATGGAATAGATCGCAAATGGTGAAGGACAATCAGTCCTTCGTTGGTCGCCAAAACAATAACTCTCAATCCCCATATCAACAAAAAAAAAAACCAAGGGCACTTTGGCTGGAAGCGATGCTTTGATCAAAGGTCGACATAGTATCACGAGCAACCGCATGTTTTTTGGGAAATACAGAGTTTGACACCCCTCAACGTCTCAATGTACAAATTAATTCAATCCACCCATAATAAAGACTATTTCAAACAAGCCCCGACCTTATGGGATCCGAAGAGGTACTGCCAGTAACACAATGACCATGATCACGACATAAAAAAGTTTATTGCAATCGGCACGTGATGCACCCCTAACTGTGTGTTTTATGTCAATTCAATTCCTCTGAGACGATAATCGAGCTGAAATTATGCAGTAATTTAGCTTTCAAAAATATGACTAATAACTTGACCCAATTTATATTAAGTAGTTAATGTGCAAAATTAAAATATTATAAAATATAAAAAATAGTTCACACACTATGGGTTATACGCAAGTGCATGTATCGATTTAAGTAATATAGGACTTTCTGATTAAGCCCCGAATATCGATCCCACGAGGAAGCAAGGAAAGATATTCTTAGTCAATTTTCAGTCAACTACTATTAGTCCTTAGTTTAGAATATCGATTAAAATGGTGTTTTATCTAGCAACTACTCATAAATATGAATGTTAAATGTAAGGATAGTAACTATTCCTAAATGTAAATATTAATTCTAAAGATAACCCTTTTTGGATGAGTTGGTTTGAAGAATTTTAAGATGTCAAAAACTACTATTCTTATGCAGCGAATTAGATAATGTAAAAGAATGAGATACATTAAATATTATATGTGTCAAATATGGGCAATTTTAATTCTTTACCCTAATTCAGTGTTATAGAAAATCTTTGGCTAACCTTAGGTTTAGTCGCTAAACTTGTGGCTAGGCTAGAAGGATACTGGCTCCCACTCTAGAGCTCCTACTTCCCTTCCCTATAAGGCTAACTCTCACTTTAGTTTGTAAACACAAAGATCGAATGGGGAATTTTTAGTCTGTCAGTCTAAAATCTCTAATTTTACGCCCAACAAATTATATTTCCCTATTTATTTGCACTTAATCCCATGAACGAAATACTCTTTCATGGACTTAAAAGTGGTTATCACTTTGTTGTAGAACTCATACTTCATTTCCTGGATCATATGTTTCACAACATATTTTAACATATCAATTGGTCATATCAAAAAGTAAATTAAGAGTAGAGTTGAAAAACTATCACAATTTATAATTAAAACTTCTTCTAGCATGCATCCTGATATCCTAAACATGAATCATACTCATTGCAAAAGAAAGTTAAAAGGAAAATAATGACATAATCTTCTAATGCTACTATTTATAAAAAAGAAGAAAGAGTAAGAGAAACACATCACAAAGCACGAAAAAAACACAACGAAATATTTCATTAAATCAAAGCAAGATAAGTGTTTACAAAATCATAAGATAATGAAGAACACAATACTTAGATTTTCTCCTTGAAATAAATATGAAAATCTCTCCCACAAAGTTTCACTTTGATACATGCAATATTTGAACCTTCCCTTACAGATTCTCTCAAAATCCCCTCACCAATCTCTCCAAAAAAGTAGAAATCTACATTTATACTCCTATTCTAATATCTCTAAACATTCTCAACATTTTTTCACTCACACACATCATTTTTTCTGACATAAAAGCGCTATATTATAGTGTAGGGACGAATTTCCCAAAAGATGCCTCAAGCAACCCTCCAAAAAACGTCCAAATACATTGAATCTTCTAGAAATTCGCCCAACATCGCGTCCAAATCGTCTCGGGGGCTGTCAGCGCCGTTTTGGGCTCTGTCGGTGCCATTTTGACGTCATTTTCTACTCTTCGGCGCTGCCGGCACCAGCTCTGGCGCTGTCGGTGTCCACCCTGCGCAGCTTCACCATTTTGCTTCATTTGGATCCGTTTTAGCTATGTTTCTCCTCGTTTCAGTTGAGTTGCATTCCCAACAAATATACCTATAAAATAAGCATAAAAACAATATTTCTTTAAAATGTAATTTCATTAAAAAATGTATGAGAAGTGTAAATGTGATTAAACATAGAAATACATTAAAATGTCCTGGGACAAAATTTTCTTTCTTGCTCATTTCTGTTCTAAATTACACCGTTTTTGCTTCTTTTTCTCCAAAACTTCATTTTTTGTCCCTGGAATAAAAAATATGCAAAATACCTCCATTTAAAGTGTAATATCATTGAAAATCACCAAATATATGCATTAAAAACATATGAAAAATTGAACATTTTTTAGATGTATCAGCACGCATACATAGTGGCAAGGTAAAGCTTCAACAGAAGATGTGCAAATGGGCTTGTTCGAATGAGTGAGATCCATGTAGTAGGGATAATCCCAGCCATCTTCAGGCTTGAAAATATATCATTCGGGATAAATATGTTGTGTCATTCCATATACACGTAACCATTTACTAATTATCTTCACATAGATCTCTCACCAAAGGGGAGCCCTTATCCCGATGTGAAATATAGTTAACTCTGCTATGTAATGATGTCAAAAGTTTGATGCAATATTTTATGAATTAAAAATTTAAGTAATTAATGTTGGAATTCTATGCAAGTGTATGTATTGTTATCAAGTAATAAAAGACTTTCTATTTAAGCCCCAAATATCAATCCCATAATGAAAGTTTAAATTTGAAATGATAAATTTACTAGAAATTTCACAGAAACTCAAAACGTAATTACTGTCACTAATTTCGAATGTTGAGATACTATCAGAATTAAAGTATTTAACTAATAATAAAACTGAAATACAAAGTTTAAACAGTAACTATTAAGCTATTAAACTATGTTTATGTGATGAATATTTCTTATGTGAAAAAACATATTTCCCATAACAATGAGTTTTTTGGTAAAATGAGATGAGACAAATGGTTCAAATATGTATTGTACCAAATAGGAGCAATTTCAATTCTCTACCCTGATACAGTGTTATAGAAAATCATTGGCCAATCCCAAGCTTAGTCCCTAAATTTGTGGCTAAGCTAGGAGAATACTGGCTCCCACTCCAGAGCTCCCACTTCCCTTCACCTGAAGGCTAACTCTCGTTTTAGTTTTTAAACACTAAGACCGAATTAAGGATTTTAGTATGTCATCCTAAAGATTCTCTAATTCTACACCCAACATAATATATTTCCCTATTTATTTGC